CCGCACCACCCAGTACGGTGGTTTGCAGTTTGTTTTTTTTTTTTTTTTTTTTTTTTTTTTTTTTTTTTACAAATCTAGACCAGTCGTTTGCACCGCATCGCGCGTCCACCTCTTTGTACGTTTATCCGTCTGGAATATATTAGGGTGTACGGTTCTACAACGAACTGGCAAATGAAGAAATACTCGCAAAATATACTTGCTTTTTCTTGTCAAAAAATAAATCTTAGAAAAAAATTCTTGAAAAAAAAAATGGGAGGGCATCAACACGTTACGCGATGCTGTGGTGGTTGGTTGCCAGAGCCACCCCCCATTCATTCCGTGTTTCTTCTTCCCTTGGTCTGTGTACTGTTTTTTTTTTTTTTCCCTTCTTCTCGCGCCGGACAAAGGTTGTCGTGAAACGCCAGATGCTCAAATTTTCCCAGTTTCACTAGACGATATAGAACCACCTGCAGCTCGCAGTCGGCCCGTGTAAATGAATTGCTGTGGCAGGGGTGCGTGTATACGCATGATCAGAAGGTGTTCCACGCAATGGAGACGGTGTAAAGAATTGTGCATCACGTTGGTGACTGGGCCAGTAGATTCTCGAGCGTGAGAGCATGTACTGTAGACCTTTTGCTCTGTTCGACTTGCCACTGGGTTCGTCAGGGAATGAATGGCCCGAACTGTCAGCGCAGACTCTGGCCAGAAGCTAAATCAGTGTAATGTTGCCTAGATATTGACAGTTGGGGGAGTGAAGCCATGTACTATGCGATGAGATGTCATCGTAAAAAGGCCAACATGTTTGTTTAAAGATATGCATCATCGACATTAGAACCTCCTCTTCTTCTTTGCTGGTCCAGCCGCTGCCTTCTTCTCCAGCTCCCTCTTTAGTTCCTCTCGCTTTCTATCCGCGCGTTCCTGCGATGTCTCCTTCTGCTTCTCCTCCTCCCTAGCCTCTGCTGCTGATGCGTTGCGAGACGTTGCACGGCCACGCCGCGCGTCATCCCTTGTCACATCTGCCGACGGCGCTGTACCGGCTCCAACCCGCTTGCCAATGACGCCCAACCTCTTTGGTGCAGTCGAGCCAGCCTCCTCCTCGCCCTTTGCTGCTGCAGAAGCAGCGTCGTCCTCTGCTGTCCCTGCATCATGCACCGGCCGTCTTGGTTTTCCACCAATGCGGCCCAGACCGCTCTTCTTTGCAGGCGCAGAGGAGGACGGGGGAGGAGGAGGGGGAGGGGACGAATCAGCAGGTGGCGATGATGCGGCCTCGTCAGGAAGAGAGGCAGTCTCGTCTACGTCACTAGCCGTTTCTGATGCCGTCTCGTTGTCATCTGCCATGGCGTCTTTGGCCTTGGTCTTGGGAGGGGGTGGGCTGGCGGCCTTGGGTGGCGATGGAGGTGGTACCGGTTTCTTGCCGCCTATTGCTCCGATGCGGCCAGCTTTCTTCGGCTCCTGAGATGACGCATGCTCTTCCTTGACGGCTTTTGCAGGCGAGCCCTGCTCTGATGATGTATGAGCGTCTTTGCTTGGGCCAGTCTCAGTCTTTGGCTTGAGCCGTGACGGAGTAGATTGAATCTGAAACTCGTCGTCATGGTCATCATCGTCGCCCAGCGTCACATCGCTGGCGTCCGGGGGTGAGGAGGGTTCTGCCGAGTTTGGGGCTCCTGTTTGATTATCTTCTGTAGAAGCAGTGCGATGCGGTAAACTTGTTATGCTACTGAAGCTGCGCCACCAGCCGTCCAGGTCGCTGGATGCAAAGTTCATTGACATGCCAGGCAGTCCGGCATTGCCGCCAAAGACTCTTTGCACCAAGTCCGTCACGTCGCCAGGTTGATCAGCGTTGTTACGGAGCTCATCGTTCATCTTTTGCTCGTTGAATGGGGCGAGACCTCTGATTTTGCCATCCGCAGTCTCTCGCGTCACCTTTTTGCGGCCCGAAAGCGCTGTAAATACATGCTCCAAGCCTGTGCCGGTAGCTTCGAGCTTGTCAGAGAGCTTGGCAATTACCGCATCTTTGTGCGCTAATGTCTGTATCAACATGTCTACTTGGCGGCTCCTGAAGTAGAGATGCTCGACAATGGGGATCGCGAACTCGTTTGTAATGGCAACAGATGATGACTTGTTCAAATGGAACGGCCATTCCAGGGGCTCAAATCCGGCGAGTTGGCAGGTGGCCACTAACTTTAAGCCTTCTTTTCCAGAATCCGCCGATGATGCTGGCGAAAGCGTAAAAGTAGCTTCATCATACCCACCAGCCGTCTCATCCAGCGCACCCCGGAGCGTCTGGAGAAACTTGCTCATATTCTCAGGCGTATCGCTCGGGTCGATGCTCGTATCTTCTTTCCATGCTCTCATGCAAATGGCTTTCCTCTCCATCGACTCGGTCCATACATGAGCCATGTCTGTAACCTGAATTGAATATTCGGATGCTTTTGTCTCAAAGGCAACCAGGAGTGGTGGTAGTTGGCCTTCTCCTGAAAGGCGCAGGGGTCGCCATGTTTTGGCGCCCACCATAGCGAGCTTCCGTCAAGCGCAACGATGCTAAGCTCCGTAGGCGTTGCGCACTAACAATCTTATTGAGCCCCTATCTGATGGTTTTGATAAGCCGCAGCGCAGCTTGCATCAGGCTTGTGCGGTTTCCAGAGCGCGATTGGTGGGCAGCTTCAGCGTTTTGCGACGATTCCGCCGAGGACGCCACCTGAAGCGTGACCAATTGAGATGTGGCCGGGAAAATCTAGAGCGTCTAGCGTGCCGCAGCAAGAGGCCGGTTTGATGGGATCAATTCGCCTTCGCTACCTCCTCATTGCCGAGTAAAAAAATGTTGTGCAAAGATGTTGATGAGGAGGAGCAGACATCCGCGCACTAGCGACGCCCCCAGCCCCCAACCGTGACGGGGCTCCATGGATCCTGCAGGGTTCTGCGCCGATGATATAGAGTCTACAGATAAGTGCGGCAATAAACTCGAGCCAGATCGAATTGGTAGAAAAAAAAATACATGATATCATATTTATATTCGAATGATTGACGAGTCTTTCCAAAATCAGTCATCCATAATCCCTACTCGTTATCCAGTAACGCGTAGAAAAAGACGGCAATTTCGCCTCTGCTTTCTGGAAACGCGCGATAGAGATGCTCATCATAGCCTGCAAAGACCATGCCAGCTTTTTTGTAGAAGCGACAGGCTGCAACATTATTAGATTGGCCTTCGACGCGAATCGCGCCAAGACCAATTTCTCGCGTCCAGTTCTTGACAGCGTCCAGGAGACGCGCTGCATTGCCGTAGCCGCGAACACTGACATCCAGCCCAATAAATTCGAGCAGAACCATCCGGTTCCAGCTCTTGGAAGCGACAGTGTATCCATAGATGCGGCCATTCTTTGCCCTGAGAACAAATATGACTTTCGTGAGACCATCAGCCCCCTGCAATTCCTGCTCGTCGAAGCCAAAGTCTTTGACTCTCTCGGGTAGCGGTGATGTAATGAATGGCAAGTCGTTCTCTAGCTGAGTTATTGGCTTTGCAACCTCGGCATCGATTGAAAATCTGAAATCCAGTCCGGCAACATCTTTTTCCGTCAGCTCGTTGACTCTTTCAAGTTGCAGTTCAACCATTGTGGTGATGGTTAATGTTATTGAACAAGTATTGAGGGCAGGTATAAGCTGTGGGAGGGCTCCAATATGTTATCGTGGCGTGAATCTCGGCGAGCCGAATTTGGAAAGCTGCCATCAACTCGGAAACTTTGAGCAGCTTGTCAACCCACCAGCAATTGTATCAGAAACCAGCTTGCAATTCAAGCCACTGTCGACTTATTACTTGTAATGCCATGATTACGTTCAGCTCTGCCACCCAATTCCGAATAAGAAATTACCCACACTTTGGCGTGGTACGCCAGGCTACACACCAACAGAGAGCTTGAAAAATTCCGCCACGAGTCTGCAGCTGCAACGAGATGAAAGGTCCGTGTATCTACATTTTCATGGTTCAAAGCCTCAGAAATAACAAATTTCGACTCCGAAACCGGCCTTGTCGGTGAAGCGGACAGTTTGAAGAATTGCTCCTACTGCCTTGGGCTCATAGAGCAAAATTAGCGACCCTCGGACAACAACGGCCCCCTTGGCCTAATGGCTAAGGCGCAAGAGTGCGTACCCCGCTTAGATCTTGTCGTTGTACATCAAGCTGACTTTAACTAGCTTCTATATCTCGGAATCTTGAGATTGCCGGTTCGAGTCCGGCAGGGGGTGTCTCCCTTCATTTTTTTCTTCATTTTTTATGCCGTGCTCCTCTAGTTATATTATCAGATCTTGCATGCTTGTGCTTCGAAGAAACCTTTTTTTTTCTTTCCTATTAAGCAGCACCCCCCTGTGGTCTTATAGCTAGCCTGCGCGTACCTGCTCCCATTCAAGTGCAACTAAAAAAATAATTGGCTGGCTTTTCCAGCCTAGTAGGTCGATTTCGATCCGCAGAACTGCTATGACGCACGGGAAATCGGGGCCCTCAGCAACCACATCACTCTCGATTCAAAGGGGTCAAAAAGGTCGCGCTCCTCGAGAAACCCTCGATTAAAGCTTACTCAACATGACAGAAATTTGCACGATTTTGTGTGCCCATGATTGAGTCGCGGTCATAATTACCATCGCGTACCCTTGGCATTTTGTCTTCACTTACATGCCTGTCTGCTACTGGGCATCACTAACGCGACGCACGCTGTTCACGCCGCGAGTTATCGGGGTCTTCTTAACAACCTCGCGACCACACGAATTCATCACCAGACAATTTGGCACAATGGCGCCTCGTGCAACGAAGCGCAAGGCCAACGCTGCACCTGCGGCTAAGACGAACGGAAGCAAGAAGGCCAAGTCGACGAGCTACGACGACGAGCTTCGGGAACCGCACCATGCGGCTGCTGATGCCGAAAAGCACGGAATTGTCCTCCGCGATTACTACCCACCAGAGATGAGCAACGCAAGGGCGCGCGCATATGCTGAAGAGGCGCTCCGCCGCCCGATGGAGAACCTGGTTACCGCCCAGCGCGAGACAGCGGAGGCTATGAAAAAGGCTGCACAAGGTGAAGCTGTCGCCCACTGGTTCAAGACTGACTTGCGCTGTGCCGACAACACGTCTTTGGCTTTGGCGGCCCAAAAGGCCAAGGAAATGAATGTTCCGCTTCTCTGCTTTTACTTGGTCAGCCCCCAAGATTTCGAGGCTCATCTGAGATCGCCGGTCCGGGTCGATTTCATTCTCCGTACACTAAAAGTATTGAAAGAAGACTTGGCGAAACTGGATGTTCCACTCTACTTCGAGACTGTGGAAGAGCGCGCCAAGGTCCCTGCTCGTGTGCTTGAGCTGCTTGAATCGTGGGGCTGCAACCATTTGTGTGCCAACTTGGAGTACGAGGTTGACGAGCTCCGTCGCGAGACCAAGATAGTAAGGCTACTGGCTGCAAACAACAAGTCTTTCGAAGCTGTGCATGACACTTGTGTCGTTCCTCCAGGTCAGCTTCGCAGCGGTACAGGCAACCAGTACGCCGTTTATACGCCGTGGTATCGCGCTTGGATGGCTCACATTCATTCCAACCTTGACTTGCTCGAGCTACATGATGCGCCCCCAAAGAATCCTGCATCAGCCAGAAAAAGATTTCAGAAGCTCTTTGAGTGCGAAATACCCGCGGCGCCCAAGGGAAAGGCACTGTCGGCAGAAGAACAGAAGCGCTTCCACTCACTTTGGCCATGCGGCGAGCATGAAGCCAAGGCTCGCTTGGACAAGTTCTGCGAGGAGCGCATTGGCGAATACAGCCAACAAAGAAACCTGCCAAGCCAGAATGGCACAGCTAGCATCTCTGTGCACTTGGCCAGCGGCACAATCAGCGCTCGAACTTGTGTGCGCACCGCAAGAGACAGAAACAAGTCAAAGAAGCTGGACAGCGGCCATGAGGGAATCAAAGTCTGGATCAGCGAGGTCGCATGGAGGGACTTTTATCGCCACGTATTGGTCAGATGGCCACACATTTGGTGAGTGCACAGCTTTTGCAATTGATGCATCATCTAACGGGGACTTTTACAGCATGAACAAGCCGTTCAAGCCTGATTATGCCGATATAGAATGGTCATATAATACCGAGCACTTTAACGCCTGGTGTGAGGGCAAAACCGGGTTTCCCATTGTTGATGCTGCTATGCGACAGCTGAATCACATGGGTTACATGCACAATCGGCCTCGTATGGTTGTGGCTTCCTTTCTCTCCAAGGATCTACTCCTTGACTGGCGCATGGGCGAGAAATACTTTATGGAGCACCTGATAGATGGCGACTTTGCGAGCAACAGCGGTGGCTGGGGCTTCAGCGCAAGTGTCGGCGTCGATCCGCAGCCGTACTTTCGCATCTTTAACCCACTCCGACAGAGCGAGCGCTTCGATCCCGACGGCGACTATATCCGCCAATGGGTGCCAGAGCTGAAAGATTTCGACAATAAGCAAATTCATGATCCGTACAATCGCGGCGCGGGAGACGAGGCGAAGAAGAATGGATATCCAAAGCCGATTGTCGAACATAGTGAGCGTCGGGAGCGAGCGCTGGCTGCGTACAAGGCGGCTGTGGCGTAGGCCGGCAAGTCGTCCGAATAGTACTCGGCCGATGAGGGGGGCTCGGCACCTTCTTAACGCTGATCTGCGGCCGATGAGCGGCGCCGAACAATAGCAGTACGCCTGGGATCAGAACCGAGCGGTGCAGCTGTTGGTCGCAAACATGTCGGAGCAGGTCACACTGGAGACGTCTGACTGTATTCGTTTCTTTACAGGCGCACATTTCGAATCTGTGCGCACGAGCGATGGCGCGCGACGTTGGACAATTACGGACGTTAATGTGATAGGTAATTTGGAACTGAATCAAGAATCAGTTTACGCGCATGTCCGACCTGTATCTGTACCGTGACAAGCAGTCTCAACTGCCACGGCTTTTTCAAGGCCGAGAATAATCTGCGGCTCGGAGACTATCAGAGTAGCCTCAGAATTCTCAGCAATAGACAGGCGGCTTCACAAGGAGCCCTGCGAGCCAGCCGGTGCGAGAAGACTTTTCCAGCCGGGAGCACAATACCAATCACATCCAAATCACTTCCAGGGCTCGCACGTGTATGGACAAGTTCGTAATGTTTTTTTGTGTCTTCGAAATCGAGCCAAGACGCCTCGAATTGGATTGTGCTAAATGCAGGCCAACTCTAGTTCCACAAATGCACCCTTCCCGAAACCAATCCCAAACTATCGGATCGTTAGCATTGCTAATGCTGAATGCTGGCTGTCGGTTCCGTCACCCGGGTATTCTGCACCTTTCACTCTAATGTTTTTTCTCTTTTCGTCATTGTATAAAGCATTTATCGCTGAGCGCTCCAGACATTCTTGACGAGGCCGTCACGCTGAGCCAGGCGGTTCATGGCGTCGTCGGACTCGCCCATGGCGCGGACGAAGCCGCAGAGGGCATAGACGTGGGCCTCGCCAGGGATGGCGCGGCCGTTCTCGTCAACCTTGGCGATGGAGATCTGGACAGAGCCGTGATCCTTGGCCTTGATGATGCGGTTGGTAGCGCTGCACTTGCGGGGGACGTAGCTGTAAATCGGAATCGCAACATTAGTACAGTGTCATTTCTTCGGGAATCGTTTATGAATATCGAATCGGTGTTGCCTCGAGGGTTTCGGTGTTGTCTTACAGATCGACGATCTCGCCACGGTCGTTCTCCATCTTGACGGGTGTTGTGAGGGTGTTTGGGGGTGTAGAGATTTGTCGTGGTGCTCGGGTGGGATAGCCTCACAAATTCCTGACCTCGAAATTTGCCCTGGCTCCGAATAATTTCGTGGGGCGGAGAGGGCTTTCTGTGCGTCACATGATCCATCATGTGATAGCGTGAATGTCTCGCGAGCCTACTGAGCCAATCAAAGCGCGCAGTCGCCCTCGAGACTTCTGGCAACCTCGTATCCACTTTGACTTGAATGCTTCTGAAAACCTACGACGAGCAAACCGCGACGTAATCGCCTCTATGAAGGGCTCGCTCGGAGGTGGTGCTAGGAGCGAGATACAGAAATCATTCTGCTGCGTCTCATTGGTTCGAGATGCGCTCTGCGCACTCGACCTCATGCTTTCGGCGCAATGGCTTCTCCCGAAATGTTCTTGTCGTCACCTTTACGTCCCAGGCGCCGAATCGCAACTTCTCCACTCGTGATATCCTCCTCACCAGATCTTCCTCCGTTGCAAGATCTAGGGTCGCGACCGCCAAAACCTCCAATCTTCAAGTCAACTACCCCTACAACACCAATTCACCAGCGCTCACGAGCCGGGTTTACGTCAGCACCAGAACCCAAACCGGAGGCCGTGAACCTGTCGCCAACGCCCGAAACCTCTGTTCATGACTCGCACTATAGATCTCCCAACAAATCCAAGTCGCACCAATCCCTTGCGAGCCATGCTATGCCACAAAAATGCGCTACTCTTGGGGCCGCACGCCAGCCCCTGTTGCTTTCATCCTCTCCAGCTGGATCTCAAGCAGTTGTGAGCGAAAGCAAATACTTCCAAAACCCGATTTGCGAGCCTTTTCAAGACAAAGAATTCGCATCAGCAGGAGAATCTGTGTCACGAGATACGTCTTTGAACCTACAACAGGCCCCCGCAAGACGCCTAGATTGGACCCCGCCGAAACAGCAGTCACTGAATGTCAGTCAGCCCAACAGTGTCAGCCCAACAGCGACTGAGCTAGTTTCTGAAGAGAATGGCAAAGGCGATACACTTTCCAAGGTTCTTGAAGCTTTCAAATGTGACGATACACCGGCTTCGACTATAGCAACTCGATCCGACGAAGATGGCAGCATTTTTCGGAAACGCAAGCTGATCGACGCGGTGTCGACGAGATCCGGACAAGGCCCATCGGTAGCCCCTGAGTCTGCGATTGTTAAGAAAAAGGCGGCATCAAAAAAGAAACCACGGACTATCACAGGTCTAGCTACCGCCGCATATAAACTTGCTAGTCAGCCCGACCCCGGCCCCGAGGAGGAAAACCAAACCAGGCCCTCAATAACAGAGGCTCAAGTGGCAACAACTACGTCGACCAACGCGCCTGCGAAGAAAACGAGGAAGCGTACCAGCAAAGCCCCAAAAAAGACGCGGAAGAAGGACTCGCCGCCCAAGCCAATCTTGTTGTCACCCAGCGCGGCGTTGCGCCAAGTTGCAAATCAAGACTTTCTTTTTGGAACGTCAAGTCAGCTG